ATGCTGTGGTCTGTGTGTGTTTTTGGGTACATTAGCACTTTTATGTAATTGCAAACTTCGATGTGTGATCTTACACGGTGAATACAAATTACCGATGTAATAATTAATTTTTACTCACTCGATTTTATTTAAGAAATGAATTTTTCCGTGTACTAGTTATGGTTGCCAGGATGAGAAGTGTCTCTGTGTATCATTCTTCTTCCGACGTGGGCGTTAGAACAAAACCAGCCTGTCACTATGCAAAACCGTAGGAACTTTCTCTTAAAGAATAGCAGAATGCATGTTGTTAACGTTTCAATTTGGCAGGGAAAGTTCTACAGAAAAGCTTCAGTTAACTGTTTATTTAATCATGCCTAAGTACTGTACTGGAACGTTGATAGGCCTACTCCTAAAAACTCTGGAAATAGGGGTTGCGACCATTATTTTTTTCTGCTAGGCTGTCAAACGTTGAAGTAGCTTAAACCTAAAGTTTTTATTTTCTGTAACTCTAAAACAAATTCAACGAATATATCGAATATCTTGTAAATTTCTACAACAAAATATCTAACGATACCCGTTGTATTTACAGTTTATCGAATTGGTACGTAGGCCTACATTATTTAAAGAGATTAAATTTGTATGTTTGGCAAAAACTTCGTATGTTAATAATCATGATTGAATGTTAGTTAAATACATTTACGTTAACACACTTCCCAATGATTAAAGAAAGGATTGAGTAAACAAAATCTCCTACTTTTCTCAAAAGTTCATGGGTACTTTGAGATTTATACATGGATTTGTATTCCAAAAAGATCTTTGTATATATTATAAAATATATCTAGATTTTAAGGCTTGATCTAAAGACATTCGAAGTGATTCAAGATTGTAAAAAGCTATAAAAATAATTCAAATTATGTAACAATTATAATTTTCTACTGTTTCTACAAAAACCTGTCAGCTAAATATTGATATAAGCTTTATTTAGAATACTTGGAAATATACCTTAGATTAATACAAACATAGGTTAGAGAAGCTTACTTATTTTATCATAATCGTTGTCCACAATCTTAAGGTAAACAAACCTGTCACATGGTTGAGCAAAATATTATATTTAATTTGTTCAAGTGAACTGCGTGGAAAAAAACTATTTGACAATACTGGTTGTTTGCTTTGAAATGGAAATAGTTTTCTCATTGTAACCATGCGATCAATCAATATTTACTTTTAAACGCCTAACCTCGGTACTTTGAAGGCCAATGGGGTATAGCCCTCGGCCATCATCGTGGTGGGTGTAGTCCTAAGTGTTTCTTATTGTAGTAGTTATATTTGTGAAAAAGAGGTACAGTTGGTTCAGGAGTTTTTTGTGACTGAGTAACACACACAAACAAATACAGACAGGCACCATCTTATTTTTATGCACTAATATGAATTTGTTACAAATAAATTTGGGATATTTATAAAAGTTCATTAGTTAAATTACTTATACATTTAATTTTATTTCACTGTATGTTTTAATGTTCACATATGTTGTTTTTGACGACTATGTCAGTCTTCAGACCGTGACCAATGACACAGTAGACGCCCTTGATAACCACCGAGTAACAATCTCAATAGTTTGGCTGGGATCAATCTCAGAATTAAGAACATAGAAAGTTGTCTTTGAGGCCAATTAGGTTGCATTGTTCTACAATCTGAAGAGATAACAAAGACATGCGTAGTGTTGTAAGTGTTTCAGAACTAGACCAGATGCGCCTCGCATACGAATTTTTGTGTCGAAGGTCTCGTCGACGGAGGAGAGTAGGCACTTGCACTTCAAGTCCTTAGAAATTGTAGTTATTTTACAATGGTTTTATTATATTTTTGGTATCATATGTAAATAAAAAGACGACTAGTTCAATGTCAAACTACAGAACCTTCAAAACTAGAAAAAGAACATTGAATAGTATTATGTTGGCAGATATAAAACGGTCTTACAAAATTCCTACAAGACACCATCCTGGCAGATTTTTTGTGTTATTTTATGGACATTTAATTAGATTGATCATGGCTTAATACATAGTTATATTTTAATGTTCGAAATAATTTAAAAATAGTTTTCAAGCAGTTAAAACCAGTGTGTGTTACTAGATAGACCTACCGCTGGGCTCAGCCCAATTAATCGTTGAACTGGAACTGCGTAGGAAATACTAAGATGTACATTTGAATCTAACTATTGTATCTAATATAACGCAAGTTACTCTGCCAGCGACTATCATCTAAGTCTAGGGATTCAAAAATTGACCACGCCTGATAGGGGTTTGTTTTATTATCTTGATAGGGTTATGCATTTTCTTTTTATTGCTTTCCGAGTGATGTTGGCACCACTGAATGAAAATACCTTTAGCCCAATAATAATGTTTTTATTGTGATGCTTTTTGAGTCAAGGCTAAGATGAGATGAGAGTTGTTTCCAATTAAGTTTATAAACACAATGGTGATGCACTTTCTTCCAAACAGCACACAGTTTCTGTTCAAGTATAATTGTGAAGAATGTGAAGGTGGAGTAAATATAAAGGTGGCGTTCCTAAAATATAAAACTACACCTCAGCCATTTTACACCTGTATCTAGCACAGCGAGCTCTATTTTATTTTATCAAAATTCGTTTCAATCAGAAATATAACCACAATTATTTTTTATAATTTGTTGTAAAATCATAATGGCAAGGATCATATAAGCGAAGCAGTGGTGTAAGATCTAGTACGAACAAGGTACTTTTGTATTCATTAAATCAGTTGGATGTTTTATAACACCCTTTAATAAACAAATATGTTCTAAGCACCCTCAAAGTACAAAATGACTTTTCTTTTAGCAAATTTCCCATATAGGGAATAAGCTATTTAGTTTATACTACTTTTTAAAATAGAAACAAACAAAAAATAGAAAAAGAAATTTGAATTAAAACGACATATTTAATAAAGGTCATCCATATATAAAGCCCAAAGCACCCATGAACTTTTGAGAAAACTACAAGTCACACCCCCATAAATCATATACTTAAAATGTTCGTCATGACGAGAAACTTTGCGCAAAAACATCCATTATTTCATGAATTGCCCTTTAAGGTCGTAATTGCTTTCTTATAGGAACTTTCCATGTATCTAATATTAAAATTACCTCATCTGTACTTATTTGTTTGTTATTCTTTTAGTTTTTTACTTTTTTTTTATCAGTGTGATTATTTATTTGTATTTTACTCTTTTATGATTTGTTTATTTCAGCTTAACTTAACCAATCAATAGTTTTATTAATACTTATGAAGTCAAACGGGTCGACGCCAAATAATAGAATTTTATATTTCAGTCATCATGCAATGATATTCACATTTCAGCAAACCATGATATAACATTCGGAACCAGAATATTTTCAGTCCGGAAGCATTAAATACAAGCAGACAGGAAAATCATGTGATTTCTTTGAGTGACTGCGTCTGTGGAAGGTTCATAGTATGGAAATGGAAAGGGTAATGACAGGGACGTTGTAATGATAGAAGACGACCCTCGGTTAAGAAGTCACTTACTCTTCTCATTACATGAACCAGTCTAATCGCATTGCGTTCTCAGTTGTGATGGTTTTATATTGTGCCTACTATCAACCAAACAATACGAATCAGAAAATAAGAAAATAGGTCAATCAAATGTCAAACGAGTGGGGTCTCGTTCTTTTGCAAACATTTTTGTAAAACCTGTATTAATTACATTACTAATCAAGCATTATTAAATACAACTGTTTACTAATATGTTAACATATTGTTTAAATAAACTTTTCTGACCTAAATTTATCAACTGTCGCTATGAAATATGTCCAAATTAATTCTATAACAGACGTTATTCCACTATTATAATATAGTTTCATCATAACCTTCTCTCAAGTGACAGGTTTAAAAGGTAGATACGCAGTCGAAGCTTTCCCATATTTCACTTGCAGACGGCTCATCAATATTTAATCAAGTCAGCCCTGGTTTGAGCGGGTCCATAGATCCGGCACCGGCTGACTAAGTTACTAATTGAAGACAGTTAGGAGCATTAACCAGTTACCAGAGACAGTGGGAAAGTAGCCCTTGTGTACACACTCAGCGAAAGTATGTAAAACACGTTGGCGAGTGTCCTACGAGAGGTGCCATACTAGGAAAGGGAAAGGAAGAAAGCGGTAGAATAGCGAGCCATTTGCGAGACATCCCCGGCGCTGCCATATGCCCCGTGGGAAAGCGCCATTAAAAACAGTGACATCTTCATTGTTCATGTTGGGTGAAACTGTTCCGCGAGTCGAAACGTAAATCACAACCATCAAGATTACGTCATACAATGTATTACTTAAAAATAAGTCTTATTTTTTATTGAACGCATCCAGTTTATGAAGAATCCATTTATAGTAAAGAAAAAAATTAGTTTTATATTCAAGTGTAAATTTACTGTTTGCTTATTCAATTTTGAAACAACAAAATAGTTGGTTGTATGTATTTAAATCCAAGTTTGTTATATATTATATCATATGCGCCATTATCTATTACAAACATCGTTGTGGCGTGATAGCCTTTAGGTTTGTCTGCATACATTTTTGAAATTCTAGCGTCAATGTAAATGTTCGTCTGTGTACATTTTTTTATTCATGAGGCAATAAAGCTGCCTTTATCATTTTACTGGATCGTATGGAAAAAAGGTATACAATTTATGAATTCACTGTGACAAAATATTTCTAGAAAGTTTCAAACTATACTTAAAATATAAATGTTTATCATGTTGGATGAAAGCATAAATTAATGGTTAATGATTTATTACAATGAAGAATAATATTTGTAATATTGTAACTTGAAAACTTTATTGAAATCAAAGAAACTACTTTAGTGAAGAAAGATTTTATATAGGCCTATACAAATAATTTGATGAAATTCGTCAATGGTTGTATCTTTTCAAGTACATGTTTTAATAGTAAATGTTTCAGAGGCATAAAGGCATTTATTAATTCAACTTTTGTTGTTGTTCCAGGTGTCCGCCATAGCGGCATTGTGCCTGCTGTTGGCAAGACCCATGTCCGCAGTGGTAAACGACAAACCATCAGATTCCCCATCAGCATCCTCGTCTGAGGCAGCTAATAGGGGAGACCTCGTCTCATCCGCATCAGGACCAGCAGACTCGTTCGCCGGAGATTCCTATCTTCCACCTCCAGACTCATCGGCGTTTGGACCAAAACCTGTCTATGGACCACCACAGCCATCAGGTGGCGGGAGTTCTTTCGGACCTTCAGGACCCTCGGACTCATACCCATCAGCTGCTCCAGAGAGTGCTTATGGCCCACCTCCATCCCCTCCAAAGCATCAGTATGGTCCACCACCGAAACCAAAGCCTCAATATGGACCACCAAAACCTAGTTATGGCCCACCTAAACCAAGTTACGGCCCACCTAAACCATCTTTCGACCCACCCCCAAGCTCTTATGGGCCACCCCCAAAACCTTCTGGGTCATATGGACCGCCAACTGGGTCTGATTCGTTTGGACCTCCACCACCACCCCCAAAGCCATTTTATGGACCCCCTAAGCCAGTATATGGACCACCAGCTAAGTCACCCAAACCGTCTTATGGGCCTCCGCCAAAACCACCCAAGCCTCTTTATGGACCACCTCCCAAGCCTGTTTACGGACCTCCTCCGGGACCTCCTCCAAGTACATCATATGGGCCTCCTAGTTCCTCTTATGGTCCACCCCCTGCTGGACCTCCGAGACCTAGCAGTGGTTATGGTACACCAGTTATTGTGAACCCCAAAGGGCCTCCTGGAGTGCCAGCTCCACCAACTCCTCCTGATATAAGATATGATGGTTGGCAGCCCATACCTGGACTTACATCTCATCCTCATCAGTCTCACACACCAGGTGACACATACGGACCTCCTGATAATGGTGCTCATGGAGGCGGTGATTCGTCCTATGGTGGGCCACCCCCACCACCTCCCTCTGGTTCGTACGGTGCTCCTTCCGGAATCGGAAATGACCACAGTGGAATTGGGGGATCGTTCGATGGATCAACACATGGAGATGGTGGTGTTTTAATCAGTATTTCTGGTCATACTGACACAGCAGATATTGGAGGAGGAGGTGGAGGATGTTGTAGCTCAGCACCAAACTTTGGTGGATCTAGTGGTATAAACGGATTTTCAGGAGACTTTGGAGGAAGTGGAGGAGTCCTAACTAATATAGATAATCTAGGTTCTATAAGTGGTTCTTATGGGGCACCACCACAGAATCCTTCGACCACCTATGGAGCTCCACAGCCAGCCCCTGCGATTTCTGGAGGAGGGCATGGAGGTGGAATTCATTTCGAAGGACAAAATGGACCACCTTCCGATTCTTATGGACCACCACCTTCAGGGTCATATAAGCAACCTCCCTCAAACTCGTATGGACCACCACCCTCAGACTCTTATGGGCCACCACCCTCAGAATCTTATGGGCCACCACCCTCAGACTCTTATGGGCCACCACCTTCAGGACCTTCACATGGACCTAGTGGATCATACGAGGGCCCACCGCCCCCTCCCCCACCACCCTTACCACGACCATCTTCCTCATATGGCCCTCCTAAACCGAGCACATTATATGGACCTCCAAAACCAAGCTCTTCTTACGGACCACCCAAAAAACCGAGTGGAGCATATGGTCCACCAAAACCACCAAGTGATTCATATGGTCTACCAAAATCACCAAGTGATTCATATGGTCCACCAAAACACTCGAGCGATTCATATGGTCCACCAAAACCCCCGAGTGATTCATACGGTCCACCGAGTGACTCATATGGACCACCAAAACCACCAAGTAGCTCTTACGGTCCTCCTAAACCACCAAGTAGCTCTTACGGTCCTCCTAAACCACCAAGCGGGGCATATGGTCCTCCAAAACCTATTAATACATATGGTCCCCCAAAACCACCAAGTAGTGCCTATGGACCACCCAAACCACCAAGCTCCGCTTATGGTCCACCAAAGAAACCCTCTGGATCTTACGGACCACCCAAATCTCCTAGTTCATCATATGGCCCACCTAAATCCCCTAAGGTTCCCAGTAGCAGTTACGGTCCTCCTAGCAATTCATACGGCCCGCCGCCTTCAGGAGGTGGTCACGGTGGAGGTTATGTAGGTCCACCACCACCACCCAGTTCATCTTATGGCATCCCAAAATCACCAAGTTCATCTTATGGCATTCCTAATTACGACAATTTCGGCGGATCCAGTGGTCCGTTTGCGGAGCCAGGAGGCTCCTTTGGAGGTGGAATTTCAAGTGCTTACGGAGTTCCCGGCGATACACCACCTGGAACCTTCGGGGTGCCCATTAGTGGGTGTTGTGGCACTCCTCCACCAAACATAGGCCATCCACCCGATCAACCCCCCAGTCAGTCGTATGGAGTGCCTCAACAGGGTAAAGGTGTTGATATTCATCTTTCTGGGCTAAATTACGGATTGCCTTCAGGAAAAACAGTAGAAGGGCCAAACCATATTCAGCCAAAAGAGCCAGTAAAGTTTGTTCAACCTGTTCCAGCAGGGCTATTGGAGGCAATTGCTCAATCTGCAGAATATAAAAATTCAGGAAAGGGGCGACCTTTCCAAGGGGGGACGTACATACCTCCACCTCCCCCAGAAGTTGGAAAACCTGTAAATGAGGTCAACAATGAAAACTACATAAATGGCCAAGGTCATTTCGGAGGTAGCGATGTCAAGGGCGATGACTTCCACATCACCCAATCACTTTCTGTTGATCTTTCACCACCATCTAATGGAGGACATCAGAATTTCGATAGTTATGGGTCCCAAACAGTCGTAGACGGAAATATAGCCCAATCTATTGATCAAAATAACCAGCTCATCCAAACAACACTAGTCCAACAAGGATCTGACGGTCTTGGAAGTAGTGGACATGGTGCATTAAGTTATCAAAATAATAATTTACTCTCCCCGACAGGTCCAACCGGTGGAGAAGGGGTACCAGAGGTTAACCAGCTGATACAGTCTCTCGGTTTGGAGGGTAATTCAATCACACAATCACAGATGATTGATCTTGGCCCCCAGTTTGCAAATCACCCGGGTGGCCACTTTATAACACAATCAACAGCGAGCGGAATTCAAAATATACCTATACAGGGAAATCAAGGAAGTTATACCCTCCAGATTCAACCGGCTGGTGGCGTAGGGAGTACAGGACAACAATCTATAGCCCATGACCAAGTGCTCTCTAATGGATTGTTGCAAGATATTTTGGCAGCTATTGAACAACAACAACCAAATCAACAACAACAAACTTTCCAACAAGTTTATACTCAAGGCAATATTGATCCTTATCAGCATGCCGCTTCAAACGTTTACCAACAGTTTCAAAACGCACCGCAAAACGTTGCTGATAGTGAAATCCAGGGCTCTTCCATCAGTGAACAAGTATTGAATACAACTAACAACGAAAACGTGACACAGTACAATTCGAACTCGACTATCACATCCGATAACGACTCGAATCAGTCGGGTTACGACAAAACTTTAAGCGACCAAGAGAGGTTTACAGCGTATCTTGCGAGAAATGGCGTTGCCTTGTATTACAATAGCGAACACGGTAAAAGTCATAATAAGACAGAGCAAGAAGGCGGCCAAGCTGAAAGCCCCGAGACAAATCTTCTCGACTCCAACCAACCTCAAGGGGATGGCTCTTACGTTATCTTCAAATCTCCAAACGTGCAGTACAAATTTGGTGCAGCCTCAGATGACGTGTCACTGAACAATCATAAATTTACTTCAAACTCAACGCAATCTACGAGCGAGACCAAAGATGTGACGTGAGTTAGTTAGCCAATTGTAAAGACTTTCATAGAATGTTTGTTGAAACGCTACAACACTCTAGCTCGCAGCTTCGCCATTCTAATGTTAATTTAATAATAAAGATGGGCGTATACTGGGCTGGGAATAGCGAAGCTGCAGCCAGAGAATGTAGGTATGTGTGTTAGCCTCTGCGGGATTCAAGATCTCGGTTCCCGCTGTCCCTGACCCTCGCGCTAGTGAAAGTATGTCCATGATCGTGAACAGCTTTCTGAGCGTTTATACCACGACTCCAACTAATCATTCTGCAGCGGATATAATTGTCCACTCACTTTGACTTATTAGTGGCCCGACAGTTCAAACGCGCTCATTTTCCGCCTATCTTCTTTTGCAGTGAATCTCGGGAACATAGCTTATAGTAGCCTACACGGTTTTATTTATTTCTGTTGCATTTATACAGTTGAGAATAATTGAAATTGACGTTTAGAAAACAACTAATGATGTATCTTTCATACCGGTTTTCATTTTAAGAATAATGATCAAATATATTTCTAGACGTTCGCATAGCTTACACCTAATAGCAAAGTTCTGAAAGTTAAAAAAAAAATACAATTTAAAATAAAGTAACAGCAGTTTCCATTAAACAATTAACAAATGGCTTGAATAGAGTGAAATAAACGTTAGATATAAGTAAAAATAATTAGTGAACAAAACCACTTTGTTATGTGTCATGACATTTTGCGTGGAAGTATATTTAAAATTTAAATGTGCCAATAATTTATTTTAGAATTATGTTGAATACTCATTTATGTGTTTACCATGTATTACTTTCTTGCAATGGTAATTGTAAATACTGTGTACTAATGAATTTGTATATAAAACATGTAAAGAATTGCATAACTGTGTTATGTTTAACTCCTTAAATCTGTGTTCTTTCAACTATAATTAGAGGAGTAATTTGGTTTTGCAGTTATAGTTCTTTTGGATGCATTCTAAATTGCTCCATAACTTGTAGCAGTAAAGTTATCGTCCGTACTTACTTTAATCAAAGATATATTTAAGACAACCGCAACATTAGGTGGTTACTACTTGTAGATTTTACCTGATTAAAAGTAACAAAAAGTATAGCTGATACATCATAATGAAAAATATGCCCTATTTCAAAAAGATTGAGTTTAAAAATTTAACTAAGGAAAGGTTTAAATAGTAACATATTGTATGGGATTGTATATAAATGACAGGTACAACAGTCGTATAAGTTATAAGAGTAAGTTTTGAGTCCATGTCGTAGATCGTTGTACGGTTCCTTAATTTTAATAATCAGTTACTGTAGGTGTTTAGCAAAATGTATTTGATTAGTTTCGCCTGTGCATGAACTTTTTTGTTCAGAGTATATACAAACATGGAATGTGAGGCTCAACTCCTGACTTATTAACTTGTTATTCTGTACATGAAGCCCACACACTATGGTAAAGATCTTTAATATAATATCAAGTCAAACTGTGAACAAAAGTAATCTAAACTTCTAACTATCTATTAAATAATATAGATTTACAATGAATAAGACAGTTGAGATACTAAGGTAAACAATGAGAAGTTAAACATAAAAAATCTATGTCTATAGATTGTAAAAAACTATAAGAGTTTTACATTAAAAGAATATAATTATTTATTGTGTTATCATCCGCACCAGTTGAATGTTTATGGCGGCCAATACCCAGGTGTTGGCACTGTGTGTGTGTAGTCTGGGCCTGTTACTGTCGCTCAAAGTTAGTTAAGAAACCTGTAACCAAATCTAAAATAACAACTAAATGGTCGCAGCGCTACCAGGACCAGCTATTTAATCTACACTCAACACAGCTTATACAAATCTATTTTGACTTATAGATTTAAGAAACCCTTTGCCACTAAGCTTGGTACAAAATATCTTAAACTATGTATACGAGTTATTAGGATGTGCATAATTGAAAATTCACCTCAATCTTGAAATCTTAGTAAAAGTAATATTTAAGAGCCAATTAAAAAGCTAATATATCACTATCCATTAAAGACTCGTATGAATAATGTGTACTTGTAAATCTATAATAAATATCATAAACTACTTAATTTAACCTGTACATGAAAGATTCCTGATAACTTGGACTGCATAGCAGCTGTAATAACGCAGTAAGGGACACTGAGCAGCAATCAGATCGAAATGGCCCGTTATTATGTGAACCTTTTATAAATTTTAATTTTTTATATTTTTTATGGAATACATTTGTAAATTTACTATTGCCATTTGTTTAATCGAAAGATGTACTTGTTGTATAGAAAAGTCATACGGAATGCACGGTCAGTCACAGCTTAGTCTATTAAACATTTTTATAAATAACTGGTGTACGAACAACACGGATTAGTTATCCCGCAATACCAGGCAGCCTGTAGACGGTTATGTCCTATTCCGCCCGAGTTTTATTTCGCCCGGAGCCTAATTACTCCCAATTCGCCCGCGGTCCCAGATTAACCCCTATAATCCTCAGCTCTACCTGCGTCAGGAGTCCTATTCCATCCACGGTGGCGAAGCCCCGCCTCCTAGGACCTCACCCACCCCCAGCTATGTAAAAGCCCTCCCCTACCCATCACCCCGTTATCCACCTCCGACTACACGGTTATTTAAGCTTAAAATATTTATTTGACAAACCAGACAAACCAAGCGAATTTCCTTTATATTAATGTAAAGTTTAAACACGAAGTTTTAAGCATTAAAATATAAAGGGGCATGTGCCCTTATTGATGTAGCCGTTGTAAAGATATGTTAAATATTTATAATCTGGAACTTTCCTTTGCGTTGAAACGCTTCAACAGTGATATTGATACATGTTTACAACATAACAGATTAATAAAATTTGCTACCTATGTGCTGTTAGTTACTGTATGTTTGTCTCCCTATCCAAGATGTGCAAATAAGCAATTTAATTATTTAAAATATTGCGCTTAACGTCAAACAGAAACATATGATAACACTGCAATCCAAGACATGGCCAAACAAAGGCCACTAGTTAGCGGCTTCTAGTGTTATACCCAACTGCACACCTTTGAGTTTTCTTTATTATGCAATGTAAATAATTCACCTATTGGGTTTGATGATGATTGGAGTGTCGAATCGAACTCGACCACCATTTGCTATCTTTTATGTAAATTTATCGTCTGATGAGATAACAGTATGAGAACACAAAAAGAAGCATACCGATGACGAATCCTTAATGACCACCCTCTCTTGGAAAAATGCGAAACTCTGCTATTTCTCCCCTGTTATTTCTCACGGACAACGCTTGGGCATTCCAAGTCAACATCCCTCGCGCTTCATCCACATACTGTCTGGTTATTAATAAGAAAATATTGTCGTAGGTAAATTAGTGTACGCAACTCGCGTAAAAAGAGTAAACGACACTATTTTAACGCATTCCTTGCATAAACTACTATATTACATTGTATATGAAAAGTAAAAAAAAGATAGTCTAATAACACTTAAAACTTTTGTGCTCTCATACTGTTATCTCATCAGACGATAAATTTACATAAAAGATAGCAAATGGTGATCGAGTTCGATTCGACACTCCAATCATCATCAAACCCAATAGGTGAATTATTTACATTGCATAATAAAGAAAACTCATAGGTGTGCAGTTGGGTATTTAACACTAGAAGCCGGCCTTTGTTTGGCCATGTCTTGGATTGCAGTGTTATCATATGTTTCTGTTTGCCGTTAAACGCAATATTTTAAATAATTAAATTGCTTATTTGCACATCTTGGATAGGGAGACAAACATACAGTAACTAACAGCACATTGGTAGCAAATTTTATTAATCTGTTATGTTGTAAACATGTATCAATATCACTGTTGAAGCGTTTCAACGCAAAGGAAAGTTCTAGATTATAAAGATTTAACATATCTTTACAACGGCTACATCAATAAGGGCACATGCCCCTTTATATTTTAATGCTTAAAACTTCGTGTTTAAACTTTACATTAATATAAAGGAAATTCGCTTGGTTTGTCTGGTTTGTCAAATAAATATTTTAAGCTTAAATAACCGTGTAGTCGGAGGTGGGCTTTTACATAGTTGGGGGTGGGTGGTCCTAGGAGGCGGGGCTTCGCCACCGTGGATGGAATAGGACTCCTGACGCAGGTAGAGCTGAGGATTATAGGGGTTAATCTGGGACCGCGGGCGAATTGGGAGTAATTAGGCTCCGGGCGAAATAAAACTTGGGCGGAATAGGACTACACGCCTGTAGACGAGATGTCTGCTAGTCAGCAGTCAGCAGTCAGCAGTCAGCAGTCAGCAGTCAGCAGTCAGTGACCAGCTGATCCTGTCACATTCCTGACGAGACGACAACCAGTCAGAGGAACCTTGACCTAGAGACCACAAACTGATGCTGATGAGGCAGCCGAGGTGGGCAAAGAAAGTCAATAGGTGGTTAACACAGAGTTTCTCTAAAGACCTGCGGCGACACACACTTACTCACGCACACTCACCAACACGCTTGAAGTAACATAATGTATAGGCCTACTCTTATTCCCGCATACACGGAGAGTACCCTCTCTAAATGTTTACGATAAAATAAATTAAATTACCGATTTACATGATAAGTCTAGGTGCTAAGACAAGAACCAATAAATTATACACTCCAACACAACTCGATATATTTCTACTTATACTGTAACAATATACAACAAGGTGAACATAATATATGAAAGATTAACTGATTTTGACCAGGATCACTATCATCGGGCATTTTGAGGTGGTATGTTAGTTTATCCATAAAACCTACTATTGAAAACTTTTATAAGCTATGTTTTAATTTATAAGCAACATTATACAATTTTGAGAACATCTACCATAACTAATCAATATCAAGTTGCTGTTGCCAACAATAATTAATATACACTGACAAATAGTAATGAACTGTTATCTTTAACACATATAACAATAAAGTTTTGCATTCTGCAAAATTAATTTATACAGAGAGGTATTAGTTCCAAAATTTCTATTCTATTCTAAAATTGTTATTCAATTGGAACCACCTCTCATTCAACTTCTTTTAAATTGATAGTTAATAATTTTCGTTACATATCCTAAAAACAAGCTATACGTAATTTACCTACGTAATTGGTTACTCCAATCATCATCAGACCCAAAAGGTGAATGATGATATTTTCATTCAACCTATTTGGTCTGATGATGATTGGAGTGTCCAAATGAAATCGAACACGAATTACCATCTTTTATGTATATTTACCGTCTTGTGCGTAACACCAAAGATGACACATGCTACGCAAAATGCGTAGCATGTGTAATCTTTGGTAACACTATTAGCGTAAATATATGTTTTAAGTCTTATAAGACATTTCTTTTATTACTTTCCGTCATTTTCAATGAAAATGCAATTATAATGCTTTATCCTGAAACATCTTGAAAAGTCGCTGACACCTTTTAAGTGTGGTTCTATTTTTAAATGTTTACACCAGCAAAGGCAACAGGTTTTTACGTACGAGCTCCTATATCTATATATCAAATACTAGCCTACATTAATGTACTTTACATCTAGATAAAACTCATTAGGAATTATCGTTTTACCCATACAAATTAAGTTACACCAGATATCGTTATCATTTTCTCATTCGACCTTTAAAGGCGACATAGTAAAAAATACCGCTTTACACCCAGATAATTGGAAGTCTCATTAGTGACATTCACACTAAAATAGCTCTCATTAACCTTTGTGAAAAACTGTAACACAGCTTGGACTTGGAAACGACGTTAACCTGTCAATACAATTGAAATGTAATTTTGTACAAACTGTTTAGTGAGACTTGTGCAGTATTTTATAGGTACCTAACCTGAAATCAGTGGTT